TTTTTTTTTTTTTTTTTCTTTTTTGTAATCTACAATTAGTCAATTATGAAATTTGCAAAAAAAAGAAAAAAAAAAAAAAAGAAAAACTTGATATATTGTGTCATATACTTGACGCCAATGAAAATGTGTCGGACGGTGACATCTGATTAATAAGTTATAGAGGTGAACGTCGTCAAAGGAAACTCATAACCACTTAACCACAGCCTACTTTAACTCTGTAATTTTTATTCCACAAGGTAACATTCTTTGCCTACGGTTATAAGCTGATACTGCGCAGGTAACAAAAAGGCTCTGGTCTTCTCAAAGTAAAAAAGTTACAGCATTAACGCTATACGTAATTTGTGATAGTCCTCATCTTCACATACAGGTGACTGAAAAAAATTATTTTTAAACTGCCATTGCTGGTAAGTATAAATAAAACGTTCTGCCAGAAAAGGAACAACAAAATGACATATGCTGAAATATTACCTGTGTAAGATAAAAGAAAATGCATGAAAAATGGAGATTTTTTGAAAATTTTTAATGTTTAGAAAATTTTGATTACGCGACACAGCATATTTATTGAATATACAGCAAGAAAAAAAATGACTGTTTGAGCTAATGGTTCTTGATCAGTTATGTGAGGTATGGGTCAAAATTTACAAATATCTTATTTCCAATCTTGAAGATTTGTCTGGTGCGTATTTTAAATTGCATATGCTTTGTTGAAACTGTTGAGATAACCCGGCTTTGAGGATGTGCCTTTGTTGTTTATTTGATAACCGCGTATGGAATATAAATGGAAAGATCAGCAAACAGATTTTTAATATACGGGAAAGTACTGCTTGGCGAAGAAATGTTCCAGGTGTTCAGATAACGAAAATCGTAGCACACAGAACTTAAACTCACCGTATTGACTTTCTTCTCAGTACAGTCATCACCGATTACCACCAAAATTATTCCAGGACACTTTTCCACTAAACAAACGGTAGCAGCTTCTTACATTGACGAATGAACTAATTTCTATACTGGACATCTTCCTTTGAACTTAAAGTCACAGTTTTCATTACTACTTCTTCAAAAGAACACATTTTAAGGCAATTGAAAACAAGTTCAAGAATTTGTTTAAGGTGTCCTTATAATGTTTGAATCAATATCGAAAAAGTATCAGTAACAAACAAACGATTATTGTTTCAGATTGTTTTTAAACCGCTCTGAAGGATAAAGTGGACAAGATTTGAAAAACCAAAAAAAAAAAAAATATTATGACTTGCCGACCTTGAAAGAAATGACACTCTTTAAACGTGCCGAACTAACGGATTTTAACTTTGCTTGGTCAAATTTAAAAACTTACAGTTTCTTTATTTTTTGTAAAACTAAATACTACTAGGACTTTTTAAAAAGAGCGTGCCTTTTATTTTTTGGTAATTTTTCAAATTTCAGTTTCTTTTTTAAATTTCTATAATAAGAGAAATTTCTGTTTAAAAAATAAACTAGAAAAACTTTAAAGACCAATTTTTTCAACATCATAATTCCATAAAGTTTTTTGTGTAAATGACGAAATATCTTGCAAATTAACAAAGTAAAAGACGGGTTATGGTGAGCAGAAAGGCCAAATTCACAAAAAAAACTTGCCGAAATATCTATTTCTGTAAAGGCGGAAGGAAGATGCAGGTGTTTGAAGTGGATCGTTCTTGGCGAAAATTCACCAATTTCTATCACTTTTTGAGGTAAGGTATTCTCTGCAGTTTTTATAAATTCCTACATGAAGTTTAATGCCCAGTGAAATTTGAAGAATAAGGCTGGGAAAGTGGCCTTGTTGGTATAAAATAATTAAACTTGTTAGTCTGAAGTAATTTATTTCACTTTAACTCGGTTATTTTTCCAATCAGTGTCTGACACTTCTCAAATGCGCTGTGACATTTCTTTGGCTGATCTTATATTGTGAGTTGAGTTATGCTAAGAAATCATTGTTCTCAAAGAGAGCGGAAGAACACTACACGATTTGAGGGGCATGGTGATTGATGCGTAAACCACATTGGTCTAGGATGACAACTCCCTTTTTCACTCATTCCAAATACAGTAGTAAAGTTACAGTTGCTGCTTTCACTCCCGAACATTCATCGGAGTCGTAAGAGAGCCTTCACTATCTTGGTTGCAAAGTAGGCTGTTTTTTTTTTTCACTAAGTGATTTAGATGATGGAGGAAAAATTTTTCTTTAGAGCCTTCATTTTTTACTGTAGTGTCGACTCGCTTCCTCCAAGACACACTTACTTTTCTCAAAGAGTGTAGAAGATATAAATTATGATTACAAACTGAATAAGTCCTATGGCAGGGTTTGAAACGGTCTTAAAGTTGACCAGACTGACGTCCTCCAGAGTTTCATCACTTACGTTTTTATTTTTCCATCCTCCCTCAAGAGGAAAACTCCATTATCAATCGTAGAGGAACGTATTTGCGTTAATAAAAATTTTCTTATACGGATTGGCCTGATAACAACATTTCTGAACTGGTTTAAAAATTTTGTAAACGAACTTTCAAATTTTTTTAAGGCAAGGTAGTGTAATAGGATTCAGAAAGCTCTTTCGTTTATCTTTGTCTTGTGCAGTACTCATTTTTAACCAGAATCGCCTTACTTTGTTCCAAGATATTAGTTTTTGCAGCAGGAAAACAGAATCCTTTGTTTGTTGTGTAGCCAAATATCCGAGGCAGAACAGTGAAACTCATTCATTTGTTTTATTGCGGTAACAAGAGACGCCGAAAATCATTTCACACATTTAGTCTCACAAAGTTTCAACAGCGCTCAGCTGCCGATTATAACCAGCCTTATTCCAGGTGAAGAATTGTCAATAAATTTCGCTCTACAAACTGCCTGATGGTTTTTACAGAGAAGCTGGTAAGAAGCAAGTCAGGAACAAATCTTGCAAATTTTTTTTCAGTACTAGAACTTACAATCTTTTTTGTTGTCAGATTCGTCCTCAAAACAGAACAAAAAAATCTTTTAATAATTATTTTAATTATAAAAGAATTCTTTAAAACAGCAGAGAGTGCCTCTTACATTCACGGAACACATGTGTGCTTCTGTGAAGCATATCATATCTGACAAAAAATTCTCACTTTACAGCGCTGCATTGACAAGGAGAAAAGAAAACAAATCATTACAATTCTTCATCAAATTTGTTTACAATGGATATGATTCTTATTTCTTTCTTTCACTGTACTGGTTCTTCTCCTACCTCTATCACTATAAAATCAGAAAAGAGGGTTCTTTAACGAGTATAGCAAACCCTGCCTGAAAGTACGGTTTTCGCTACCACGGAATTTCGTTTATACGCAAAAAATTAGCTTGTCGCCACGCAAAGCCAAAAACAGAATGGAATTGCCGCGAATCTTCTTACAGCAAATTCACATTTAAATATAGATATAAATATATACTTATTTATTTATATTTACATATGTGAATTACTAGTGTGGCACTCCACATGAGATGTTAGAAGTGAGGGGAGCTTCATAGAAAGTTTATTAGGAAGACAAAGAAAAAGCACGGTCACCAGTCTAATGGGTAAATACATTGCTTTTCAGGTGCATGGGAAACACACAGTAATGTCAGAATGTAGCATGTCTGGTTAGATCTGGAAAGATTTAAAGGATTTCACGAAAAGCGGAGCCAACTGATGATTTTATATTTTTGCGAAAAATATGAGAAAACAAATAAAACTACTGCGACGGTATTTCCTCTTATCTACGTCGCTTGTGCAAAACTGATTTTTCCTGCCAAAATAATACTTTGTCAATTTTTTCGTTTTATTTTTTTCTTTCACGTGTTCTTCATATCGCAGACTTATTTAGTTGGTTACAATTTTCTTTTTGTAATGCAATATGCAAATTTTAATAAATGTTCAAACAGGGTTTTTTCTTCATCTTTCTGGATTTCAAAATTAGACATCGCAATCTAGATTTTTTTGACTTTTGTTTTTTCTAACAGTTCCAGTTCGTACCCGCCATATTTAAAAAAAAAATTTATATTAAAACAAGAAAGCTAAAAAAGATACAGTGCCATGCAAAGAGCTGCATATCAAGACTTTGAGCATTCTTGTCTAGCTGAAGATATGATTTCCAAGCTTAAAAGATTCATTGATTTCACAACTTTTTTCACCAACTGATTGGCTTTATTTTCTTCGATTTGAATTACTGCCATTCATATATCCCTTACTAATAACTTAGCTGGTTCTGCATCGACTATCGAATGTCCTACCTCTTAGATTCCTGTCACTGACTCACGGTGACCAGACAACCTGATAACAACTGTGTGCTTCTGTTGATTCTTCTCAGTGTCCCGTCATTACCAGCGTTTACTGAGGTCAGCCGCCGTTGAAAAGTAAGCTAGAACGACCAGTATGGGAGAGGACCAGTAGAAATTAGACATTTTGCACGGTCTCAATTGCGAGTAGCCGTAGTAGCAGTTACAACAGCGTCACTGTTGTTTCCGGTGATAATAATGTTATGCTGATAGGTAGTCATAGGAAAAAGACTGAGAAAGAAACTTAAAAAAACTTTAGAACAGAGGAAAAGTAATTTTAGACAACAGCAACCAGACAGACTGTCAGAAATCTTGTAAATACTTGTTAATTTTTTTTAATAGAGACCGATGTCTTTCAAAGCACATTATGGGATTTAAATCTAAAAGCCCTGCAACCAACTCTGACTCAGTAGAAATCTAGAAAGTGATTCTTTTGCAATTTCCCTCAGCTTTAAGAGTTACATCATTAAGTTTATCAAACACCCAGATCTTTCTACTCTGAAGTCTCGTAAACAGTCACTGCTGGGGCAGCCCGCGGCCGAAACCTTACATGCAGGAACAAAATGCTAAAACAGTTGGAAGGCCAAAAGCAGTTCCCTACGAGGTTCAAGTGCAGCCAGAATTCCAACAGGCGTCGCTATCACAAAGTACTATGCCAAGAACAGGCGTCCTTATTTTACATTTTGAATGTCCTTTTTTTTTCTTTTTCAAACTTTTTACAACTATGATGTGTAACTATTTTTGCAGGATACTGCACTACCACCCCCTCAATAGCAGTTTAAAAGCATCTCGAGACAGGCACAATTAAAATCAAAGAACAGTCTACAGGCTAGGTGAATATTTCATATTTTCGTTTACAAGACAGTATTTCATCGGTAAGCAAAACGATTTTAGGAAGAAGAATCTTTGAATGACACCGCTGGGCGTCAGGTAACGAACACTGTATTTTATTGCAGAGAGATGGCATGGAGGGGAAGTGTTGTGCTTTATGAAAAGCAGAACAACTGCGGCAGGAAAATTCTGGATAGAAGGTAAGAAGAATGTGTGTTGGATTCTTAGGCCCTCAAGAAAAGTAACTACAAGAAGCTGAACAAGAAACCATGAGAACCAAAACAGCTGTAGAATAATGAAGCCCCAAAAAAAAGACGACCCCTAACTCAATAAATCACCTTCTTTGTTTATTCTATAAAATATCTTGCTAATTTTAGGCCATATTTCGAGTTAACAATTCCGATTGGTTAGAAAAAGAGAAAGATCTACGTCAAGGCTCTGCTCCTCATAGAGCTCTCCTTTGCTGAATGCTGTTCCTTCTACCGCTATTTCGTTAAACCCTATTTTGTAGAAGCAAATTCGGTAATAAAACCAAATTCAAAGAAAAAATTAGTGGTCTCAATATTAGTACCAGTAGCGGTAACAAGAGTGGCAATAACAGTGATTGCG